TCAGTGCGTGTTCATGGAGGATACTGGCCATTTGGCAGATGCACTGCCGACTTTAATTTGTCCAGACTGACCGTATTTCATATAAATGCCTTTATTCACAAGGCTGAATGATAAACCTTATAATGGAGAAGCAAAATGACTATTTTGACATTTATTGTCTCCTCCTGTGTTAATGACAGGATTTCTCAATTCTGGTGTTGCATTTGGTTTGAAATGTAAAGAATCAAAAATGTGTCACAAACTACCATTTTGAATAAGCGAACACATCAATAGGAATATCCCACACAGTTCAGACCTTCCGTTGCTACTCTGATGAACCAAATTGTGAGCAATATTAAGCATTTCCACAGTAATGTGAACTGCATGCTGAATGTGCACATGTGCACTAAGAAACAATCGCAGTGCATCCAACAATAAAGGCAACATTCTGTTTTACAGTATTAGGTAGATCGACATTAATGCTCACCAACTACTCTGAAGACAGATTTTAATGAGTTAAAAGGGACAAACACAAACTTTCTGGATGGATCACCAATAGAATGTTAGGTTTGAGAGGGTTAATCACACATTATGCAAATTTATGTGATGTCACTTTCAGTTAATTACCAGTGAAATGGCCACAATGTATTTCAGTGAACATTATGCCATGTCAAGAATTAAGTCCAGGTATTTTGTAGTTATTAACAGCACCACTCAAATAAGCACACCCACACATTACAGGAATGTTGTGAGTACTGTGTGCAGTTAGTATTAAGCTCCATTCTTCTCCTGCCACGCATACAGACGAAGACTGCTTTGAATCTACAGACTGGAAGATGTTTTGGTGATGCAGCTCACACTGACATCAGCAAATACACTGACTCCATCACAAACTACATTAATAAATGCACTGATGACACTGTACCAGAAATCAATGTCAGAACATTTCCCAATCAGAAACCCTGGATCAGTGCTGAGATTCAACCTAAACTAAGAGCTTGGGCTGCTGCCTACAACTCTGGTGACCTGGCTAACTACAAGAAGGCCGGATATGACCTTAAGATGACCACCAGGCTGGCCAAAAGGAACTACAGGGACAGAGTGGAATCTAACTACCTTGGCTCTGATCTCAGACATATGTGGAGTGGATTGCGCTCTATCACTGACTACAAAGGAGGTATGAGGGTCATAAGTAAGGGGGTCATCCTCCTTACTTGCAGATGAGCTAAATGCATGTTATGCTTGTTTTGAGGCAAATAACACCTCCCCTGCTGAAAAACTCCCAGTAGATCAGGAGAGCTGTGCTCTAACCATTTCCCAGCCTGAGCTGGTCAGATCCTTCAGGGCAGTTAAGCCACGCAAGGCACCAGGTCCTGACAGTGTCCACAGTTGTGTACTTAGAGCATGTGCCAACCAACTGGCTAAGGTTTTCACTGATATCTTTAACTTATCCCTAAGACTGTCAGTGATTCCAACATGCTTTAAGGAAACCACAATTGTTCCAGTTCCAGAGAAACTGGCTATCACCTGCCTGAATGACTACCGCCCTGTTGCACTGACATCAACAGTTATGAAGTGCTTCGAGCGGCTGGTCAATACTCACATCTGTTCAACATTTCCAGCCACCATGGACCCTCACCAATTTGCATACTGCTCCAACAGATCTACAGATGATGCCATTGCACTGACAATACACACTGCCCTCACACACTTGGACAGAAAGAACACATATGCAAAAATGAAACTGCCTACTGACATCCTCACCGACTTCTACAGATGCACCATAGATAGGGCTACATCACTGTCTGGAATGGCAGCTTCACCACCTGGGACCGGAAGGCCCTTAAGGGAGTGGTGAGGACCGCAGAATGCATCATAGGCAACAAACTACCAGGCTTACAGGACATCTATCAGTCCCGTTGCCTGAGAAAAATCCAAAAGATCCGGTCAGACAGTAGTCACCCAGCACACAGCCTGTTCACCATACTGCCATTAGGCAAGAGATCCGTGGCATCCAGGGTAGAAGAACCCGGCTAATGAACAGTTTCTACCCTCAGGCTGTCAGGCTTCTGAACAAGCTGTGAAGTTGTGAGTCCTTCCCCATTACCATTTCACTCTGTGACTTTGTTAGCATTATTTATTGTATCATATCACTGCAACGGACAATGTCACTAAGTCACTCTTTAAATAAATAAACAAATGAATATATTTTTTTCTTTGCACTGTTTTAGAATGTATATAACACTGCCCTGCTGCAGAGTGATTACGTGTGCTTTACCACAAGCATTTCAATGCATGAATGTCCTAACATGTTGTCAAATGACAAATAAACTTTAAACTGAAACTAGTATTCAAACAAATCAAAGGTGTGGATAAGCGATAGAGAATGATAAAGCAGAAAGCAGCTCAACACGCTTGGAAGAGAAAGCTGATTGTAAAATTAGTGGGAAATTTTTACTTTACTTCACATTTTTAAAAAGAATAGTAGGCGTTTTCTCACTTGTGTGTCATCAGAGCACAGAACTAGCCTAGAACTTTGTCTCGAGAGCTAAACTTGCCTGAATTTTAGCAGCACGCTTACCAAGCGGCCAGTTGGCGAGGTAAGTGTTTTGATTCGCTGTAATGTCAATGCTGTGTTGCAGGACAGGTGTAAGGATGAAGCAGATGGAGAGAATGTTGTACTAAAGCTGGTCTTATAAAGTTTTATCAAACATTCAAACACAGAAGTAACACAGCAAAAAAAGCAGTTCAGGCTCCTGAGTGGTAATGCCATCTAAGTGTTGGTTCTATCATCAGGAGATCATGAGTCAGACCGCTGGTGATGCCACAGTCAACTCACTATAGTCCAAGAGAGCATAATTGGCCTTGCTTTCTCTGGGTGACTACGATGTCCCCCATAGCGTTCTCCTTCAAGCATTTTTAGCTGTCCAATGATGTTGTGTTCATGGCAGTTTGAAAAGATGTGGCAGCATCTTGGAAGAAGCAGATGCTAGCATTCACTCTCCAAGCTTAGCATCATGTGATTGCCCAGAGGAAAGAAATTCTTTCTTAAAATTGTCTCAGAGAATTAAAGCAGATCTCAATATTATATTAATGACGGATCACTGATTTCTGAATTGTTTCTCCTAAACCCCCCTTAGGAGAAAAGAGGAGACTAACATCTACATTTCACTGTGAGAAATTCTGGTGATGAATGAGAAAAGTGTGAGTTCTCCTTCTGAGCCTGTGCTGAATGTTTTCTTCCTGGTGTCACATTTTATCTAAAAAGCTGAAATGCAGCACTTGGCTGTTAAGGTTTTATAGTCAGTTTGTAAAAACAGCCAAAAATGTGTTATAAAAATGTTTTATTGTACTGACTCAGTGGCGAATATAACAATTCTCTTTACATTCTATGCTGTAGTTTGAAATGGATGTGCTGTTGAATTACAGTTAGCAGCTTCTAGTGGTTTAAAAGCGCTGTATCACTTTAGTGCATTGTAAGGCGATTGTGAAAGGCTCCCTCAGAGGGAATATAGCTGGCTAGAGGATAAACACACTGACAGAATAGGTAGTGTGTGTGTATATGTGTGTGCGTATGTGTGCGTCAGTGTCTTTTTTTACACATTTCTTTGCTCCTTTTGCTAATCAGTGCACAGTGAAGGCTGTGAAATACTAAACAGCTCAAGCAGCCTTGGCCTCAAATATGACTCGGCACTTTGAAAAGGCCTTGAGAAGAAGCATGACTCAGCAAACTCACCAGGGACAAACAGTTCAACTGATCAATCTATATTTCTGATGTAGGCCTTCATTAAAAACACAACCATGAGTCCAGCATTCTGTCTTTCAGAATAGAAAGGGTCAAAATTAAAATTAAAAACATGGTTTGCTTTTTCTGTAAAGAGACCATTTCTGACAGGTATATATTTCTGGTATAATGAAGAAACACATTTTCTTTCCTTTTCTCTCCATGCCATGAGATCTGAATCGGTCATGTTTGTGGTGTCACAACTTAAAGCTCAGTCATATGCAAAAGTTTAAATGCTTCCACTTAATTTATGATTCATTGATCTCCTAAATAAAAAATGAGCTAACACATCTTGAACAGAGAACATATTCAAACAGGGCACTTTAAAGCAAATTTTAGTGTACAATTTCTTCTTATGCTGAGTTTAGCAAGTAAACAGTAATTATACATTAAAACGTGCAGAAGTGTGTTCTGTGTAGATGATGTGTTAAGTTAATTTCACTTAGAAAATCAACTGTACATGTAATTTGACCAGGGCGCCCAAACTTTTGCATAAGACTGTACATACAACGCCTCATGCAGCCGTCAGCTCAAAAGCCCTGCCCATTCACTCTGAAGTTATAAGGTGTGTTTCAGCCTGGACTGGTTTTAGCCTGAGGTGCAACAAAGGTCAGCCACTCAGAGCAGAGCTCATTTACATACATCAGTCTCAAAAGCACAGCATTGAGAAAAGCCTATTTAATTAAGAGATAAAGAGAGTCACGTAAAAATGAATTATAAATGTTTATGGCGCATAAACCCACAAAAAATGTTATACATAAGTGGTCTTCAGGGAAAAAATACAAGGAAAATACAAGAAAAATTAAGGATGTGGACCTTCAAATAAACAAATATATGAGGAAACACTTATGGGTCCTGTTTATATTACATACATGATAAATTGATATAAATAGTAACTTATCTTTTAATGAGCATTGCCATCACATTGTCTCCCTGGCAACTCAGTGGTTCTATGCTTGTATTTGAATTTGCCTCTATAGCCCCAGGTCAGAGGTGAAAGCTCAGCAGGACGCGAAGCCGGACATTAGGCAGCCGTCCTTCAGTGATTATCACCAGCCTGTGGTAGATTACCAGCACCCTCCTGTAGCAGACTACAGACACCCCCTGCTGCTGGACTACAGGCAGCTGCCCACAGACTCCCGCAGCTTACCCATATGAGACTCAAAAAGATTTTGTTGCCATAGTGACCATATACAGTGATATACTTTCTCTCTTACACACATATGCATGCTCTTACCTGCCCCGCCTCTCTGCACCAACAGCTTGGCCTCCGCGCCCACCGGACACTCCTTGAGAAGCTCCACTACCTGCGTGTGTGACAGCGTGAGCGCAGGTTGTTGATTGACCTCCACGATGAGGTCACCTTCACACAGCCCTGGGCAGCCCTGCGCCTCCAGGATCTGCTTCACCCTCTGACCTCCCTGACTGTCCGCAATGGTAAAGCCAAACCCGTCTGCTCCTTTCACCATTGTGACCGTTATCAGCTCTCCTCCAGTCGCCCCCGACGACGCCATGGAAACACTATCCTCAAGTGGTCCAGCATCCAAGTGCGTATCTCCTGGATGTTGTTGGGTCAAAGGCGGCTGTAGAGGGTCCAAAAAACGGGCCGTTCTGGAGATGTACTCCATGTAACTGTCATAACTGCTTCGGCCATTCACCAGCAGGGGGCGCTCCATGAGGCCCAATGGGGAAATAAGGCTGCTGGCTGCATCCTCTGGGTCATAGGGGAGCGGGTAGCCGCGGCAAAGCACCAACGTTACGCTCTGGCCGATGGGGACGGACTGAAAGAGCTTCACCACATCCGCATGGGTAGTACCCAACACACACACGTCATTGATGTACACAATGACGTCACCTGGACAGAAAAGAGAGCAAGACAGACTGAAAATGTGTAACTCAAAGATTTTGTTTTAACCTGAGAAATAACTTCTAATATGTTTTCTGCTGCTTGCAGATATGTGATTCAATAAATTATCATTAGCATACAGTTGTATGCAAAAGTTTGAACACACCCAGGCAAATAACACATTTCGTTGATTTTCTAACTAAAAATAAGTTCAGGGAACGACCAAAATGTGATATTTTACTGCAAATTTTAGTACACAAGTTCTGTTTAACAAATCTCAAATAAAATAAAATAAAATAAAAATAGTAATTGTGCATTAAAATGTGCAGAACTGTGCAGAACTTATTTTCACTTAATTTCACTTATTTTCACTCAACAAAACATGTAATTGACCAGCTGTGGACAAACTTTTGCATACAACTGTATATGTTTGGCAATTTAAGTGTAACCAACATAAAGCAACTAACATTTACCAAGAAGTATTCAATGCAAAAACTTGTAGTTCTTACAAATTTCTACAGGTGGTGCACTGAATAATAAGCTATATAATTGTATACACTTTTCTTGTTTGCTTTTGAATAAACTTTTACTATATTTAGAACTATATTTTAACTACATTGACTAATCTTATTTATGTTAGCATGATGCATTAACTTATGTAAATCCAGATATATACGGATTTATAAACTATAAAGGTCAAATAGCTACTGTTGACACATAGTTTTAGCTTGTTAATTAATAAAATCATTATGTGTCTGTCTAGTTTACTACAATTTCACAATTTGTTTTTTTTTTTCAGATCTTTCTCAGTTGGTCTCCCAAAATTAGTCTTGTCCAATTCCCACCTGCTAGCTAGGTCTCCCACTACCACACGATGCTACCATGCTGGGAGGGTGAAGCCTAGCACATGCTTCCTCTGAGACACTTAAAGTGGCACTGCATCATTTCAAACTGCTAACACAAAGTCATTGGGCCACTCAACATGCTTGGATGAGAACGCTAATTGCTAATTCTGTTATGTCAGCCAAATGACGCCCATCAAGCTAAGTCATGGAAGGAGAGGGGGGACCATCCTGCCCACCCTGAGAAAGCTCTTAGACTTTTAGCGTTGAACTTGCGACCTCACGGATTCGGTACGCTTCAGCTGTCAAAACATGCATGGTATTACTGCAGATGTGCCAGAAAATATTACGTGCTCATGATAGTTACAGTGATTTTAAGGCTATAAAATTACAGGAAAATGTCTTACAGTACAGTATAGTGACTCACTGTAAATATACAGCATTTTACAGCAAAGACTGTAAAAATACTCTCCAAATAATACCAAAGTGAGTGAAAACCGACAAATAATAAATCTTTATAAGAACAGATTGCACAAAAAGACAGAAGGTGGTACAGCAGCCTAATTGAAGCTTTATCTGCCCCCCTCTGAATGCAGAGCCTTTATCAGTGCCTGTCTGACTGCAGAGCCAATATAGATAATTCTAATAATCATTTTCAATTAAAATGATCATTATTATGTAAATGACCGGAAACTGAAAGGTGACTTCAATAGCTCGCCCTCAGAGGCCTCTGAATGTGTATGTGTGTGTGTGTGTGTGTGTGTGTGTCTGTGTGTGTGTGGCCAGTGTTGCAGAGCACAGCGTCTGCGTTTTAATGCACTATGGAGCATGTCCATCGACAGGTCAAGCCCCTCCTGGCTGTTCCAGTGACGTTGAGGAATTTTAATTAGTCTCGGTAAACATGATCGGCATTTGCCTCCAGCCCCTGCTGTCCCAATCAATAACTTCACACACACTCACAGAAAACAAATGATATCACAAAGTCCTCTCTACGACCTTCCTGCCTCTGTAACTTACTCCAATTTTCACAGATGATGCATGTATATATATATATATATAAATGTGTATGTATATATATATATATATATATATACACACACAAACACACACACACACACACACACACACATACACACATACCTTTTTAAATTTTTTTCTCATTTCTTCTAGTCTATCACCCATACAGTAGGGTCTAAACGTCCTGAGACCACAATGAAAATCTGGGAATTTTTCATTTAGACTTGAAAATAAACTACAGAGCATTTTAGAATTTTAATTTAATCTAAATTTTATTTAATTTAAACAAAGAAAAGTTATGAAACGTAAAATGTAGAGGAAATATCAAGATTCAGCACTATTTTTCTGGTTTACTGACCAGAGGCTTTTGCACAAACATGTCTGTGGAGTGCACACTGACATTAAAGGAAAAGAAGGACATACCAAATATTAAAAAAGTCTGAAATTCAAAATAATTTTCCCGTCTAGACTGGGTGTATTCAGATATTCAGTTCTGATTCATGATTCATTCTGATTTGAATAGAACTGAATAGAACTAAACAATAGCACCGAATAGCACTGAATATTGATTCACTTCCATAATCACTTACAAATCCATTATCCTAACGCTAAAACCCCTTTGGGCCCGATATACTAAGCCTTTTGTGCCAGTTTCAAAAGCAATTCTGATACATTCTGCCTTACGAAACTGGTTCATGAGCCTAAACATGAGGTATCTTGAATGTGTGCATTTAAAAAACCCAAAATGTGCTTCTCTCCCTCATGCATATTCATTTGAGAGAGACAGGGATATTAATAAGAGGGCCGCGCTAAATGTAGCAGGACTGTGTAAAAAATAACTGGAGATATTGCAGCTGTCACATTCTGCTCGATCAGCTCAAGGTGGCCATTTTTGCACTGATTTTTTTTCCGCCTTTTAAAACCAGGTGTACATCTGCGTGAGGCTCTCAAAAGATGTGTTGCTAAGAGTAGACACAACCTAGACGGAGGCACAAGACCTTCATACATGCTGAAGGAATACTTATCACCATGATAGCTAACATTACTGAAACTCTCAGGATCAGGTGCTCATTTCACTAAAGCAATTAGCCAAGATTTCCCCTCCCAGGTCGCAAATGTGACACTTATTTAGAACAGCAGGAAGAACAGCAGCTTGTGACTCGCAGCGTCGCACACAACTTAAGATGTTTTGTTTTTTGGCGAAGTATTTTCAAAATAACTTAGCAAGATCAGCAGTGTTTATACAAACAACCTGATACAAAATGAAAATGTGGCAAAGTTCGTGAAATAGCCCTCCAGACGTACTTGTGGAAGACAGGGCGCGTGTCTCACAAACTCTTCCGAAGTTAGAGTAGAATGACATCACAAGAATGCTCTGACTGAACACTGTGTTTCTCTTGCTCCTTTATACGCTGTGCCTTTTAAACCCTGCGTCTCATGAGCACACAGTTAGAGGGAGCAGCTGCATGCAGTTTAAGTGATAAGCTGCGGTCTTAGTAAATTGAACGTTAAGTTCAGGCTCATTGTGGGTCGCATCAAGGCACAGTCTGCGCTGCTACTGACCCACTTTGTGTAATTTGTTAACAGCTATCCAGGAGTCTGTCTTCCTTAGAGCTTCCTTAGTCTTCAGTGGACAGATTTTACATAGGGAGGTGAGGTAATGTCATTTTACTACAGGATGTCTGTGATGTTTATGACCAATTTGCACAACATAAGAAATCTCAGTATAAATGACAGAAATGGGAGTGACTGCTCACTTTACACACTTCCTTCACCCCTGAAAAGAGTAGAAAACATGTCAAAATGTTAAATATAGCCATAATTCCGTTTACCCTAACCACCTGTCGTGCTTACGTGAATGGACCGTGTTGTTAGCGTTATGATTAGCTTGGGAATTCACAGCTAACAGTTAACATCGTCACATAAAATCAAGCAATTTTTATTTAAACTTCTAACTTTTTATGTTCTGTGTTGTTCATTTGAGGTATGACGGTGGATATTAACTTGATTCTAGCCACAGAGAAAACACGTACATGTCTCTTCATGTGGATCCATATTAAGAAACGTCTTCCACAGGATATGACAGTGATTTTACCGACATGTCGATTTGCACAGGATTAATATAACCTGGGTTTATTTCTGTAGCTTGCACTCGGTAAAAGCTGCTGGAATCTTTACTGAGCTCACAGTCTGTAAAACTAATTTATATGGCACATTCAGACAGGACTAAAATATTTCAGAAATGCCAGTAAATACATTACCCCACCTCCTCACGGAAGACTAATCCTGTCCGAATAGGGCTTTAGCCAGCAAACTTTAAGCTTAGTCCAATCTAACCCCAGATCTTCTGTCTTGATGGTGGATCATTTGTACGAAGCTACATCAACAACTCAACTGCTGCACATGTAACCTGTTTTTCAGGCCTTAAACAGCTTTTGAACAAATTAGGGCTGAGCTTCTGACCAGTCAGAGACAGACTTGTGAGGAAGATGGACCCCTCTGGTCCTTTTTGAGTCACTTTTCTTCCCCTACATGATGTAGAAGAATGATGAAGAAATAACACCTTTCAGCAGACTTAACACATTCCATAGATATCGAGAATATACAGCAGTCATTACTCCGGTAAGTCCTAACACAGAGGCAGTGGAGACCACGCTGCTTTTTCCACTATAATTGCTCCGCTTTCTACACAGTTACATAGATTTCTTTTGCCTTTTTTGAATAATAAGCCATTCACCTCCTCATACCGAGCGCAACTAGCTGATTGCCATAAACTGCTTTCATTAGCACAAGGATTAATCACAGCCTGGGATTTTACCTGGATTAACATACAGAGTTGTAAAAAAAATAAATAAATAAACATATAAATATATAAATAAATAACAACAGAGCCAAGCTTATTTCTGGGTACATTTTGTTTTGAACTTATTTCACTCACACTCGACATGTGCAAGCCCACTCACACACACATTCAAGCAGTTATACAGTCACACACACACACACGCATACTGAGATGAAGAACAGAAAGGCCATCTGTCTGACCGAGGGAGTGCAGAGGGCGTTTAAAAAACGTGTTTTGAAAAAACACACACAACTCACTAAACACCCCCATTAATCACTGTATCAGTAGACGCAGTCTCAGAGAGAGAC